ATAGAAGGTATGTGGCTTAGGTAAGGGCAAAAAATCTCCAGAAACGGTTTTACATGTCCATTTACAACCCTCGGATTTGTCCCTAGAATGAAATGGTCTGTTTTTACCTTATCTGGAAGGGTCATGAATAACAATGTTGAGTTCTGCTCTGATTGGCTGTTTCACAGTGCGGCTCATTTCCGTAGCTCACACAGCAGGAAGGAAACACAGGGAAAATATATATTTCAATACTTTCTCTCGCAGTTATATCGTTGGGTAATTATACTCTATATAAAATGCGGACATCAGGGAGCCGCTATTAATATGCGGGACATTGAAACTGCTTTCGAATGCACAATCGCGTTTTACTTTCACTTTCGAGATTTGCGATCGCACGTGCTCTGTGTAAACTACAGCGGCAGTACTTACCACACATTTTACAAGATCATATGCTTGTCAGTGGTGCTCAGGATCTGTAAATCATTTGCGCGTTATTTGCTTTCCGTGCCTTTCTGAATACAGACACCAACCCATCCCTGCACTTCACATCCCCTGCACAGCCTGGAACATAACATTTATTTCCATGATCTGCCATTTTCGCTATTATCCTCGCTTGTTTCTTCACAATACCTGCAGAACTTCTGATGATTCGGCTGTGCAGGTTCGGCTGGAATAGAACATGGGCGGGGATATGCAATTGTTGGGGGCGTACATATTAGTGATCCCGACTGTAACGTCACAGTCGGTGTTATGTTCTGATTCGCCTATTTTTCAGTGGTCTTTTGAATGCACAAGATTTACATAAGAAGTCTGTATGTCCTCACCGTGCCTCGACGCAGAGCAAACTGAATGGAGTCTAGATCGGACACAGGGCACCATATCTCAGCGATTAGACACTTCTGAGTGACATCGATGTTGCAGAGGTTCAGAGTGTGATAAATGGCTTTCATCTTCCGGACCTTGATGAACCATACTCGGACAGTCTTGGCAGCCGCCTGCAAAACACGCTGCCTGTGATCCTCCGTCTGATTCAGCACCTGGAACACACAGCAGAGAGGAAGAGGAGGAGTCAAAACAGGAAACATGAGATCACTGAACAAGTGCGGTGATATAGTCACAATTAGAGCTGAAAGAGCAACCTGAGAGGCCTGACTCTGAGTAGACTGCAGTTTAGTGTCAAGTCTGACATGGAAACACGGTAATGTTCAATATCCTATAAATGTCTGAATGTTTTTCAGAAAAAAACTGTTGTGAATATATCTTTTGTATGGCTGATGTTAAGTCAGGCAAATTACACACTGAAACGGTTCTCTGTTTAGTTTGAATCATGACAGAAAAACATTTGGGGTTCAGTGAGGGAGTTCAGTAATGATAATTGATTCAAATAGTTCCTTTACTAATGGTTCCTCAAAAAGATTTACAAGCTCATGAGCAGAGTCATTTGTTTTTTGCATGGAACAAAAAAAACATCTGAATATGAAGTATTTAGCCAATGCCACCACACTTTATTTGCAATAGTTGCAGGTGTTATACAGAGCTATTGCAAGAATGGCGCATCTTTTTAAGTGGGAGAACTTGCACAATTGGTGGCTGACTAAATACTTTTTTGCCCCACTGTAGGTGCTCAACTTCAGTTATATACAAGCACCCTCCATCAGCTATTGTACGAACAGGAAAATTCAAAAGCCACACCTCTTGGTAAATATGTTTGTGAATCCAAAACATTGGTTGTGTGAACGTAGCCAATATAACTTCTATTTAAGTAAGGTGGATTTCTCAATCATTCAGGAGTGGCCAGGGAAGCGTGCCAGTATCTGGTTGGCATGTTAGACAGATATAGTGGCTACATTAACGTCCAAGTGTGCATTCTCGCTCACACGGGTGGGACATACGCAGCCGCCCACTCTAAAATCAGACACACTCGCCCACGCTAGAATATCCCACATGCTCACCCACGCTGGAAACATATGGAGACTCACCCGCGCTGACAAATCAGGCAAACTCGCCCACTCAGGGATTTATGTAATATAATATAATATATTTTGGGATGCTTCCGTCTTGCTCAAACAGCCACAGAAACACACAAACATGGCATGTGTACTATACTAAAGGGTACCAAACTCTCTCCAAATCTGTGAGAGGATCACAGGGACATTAACGATTCCTGCCTGACAGGCACACACACGTGCATAGTGACCATTCTCTCTCACCTCAGGGGCAAACAGGCCCGCTAATAGCTCGAAGTGAGTCAGTGACATGGAACTCGAGCGCATACTCAGTCCCGGCCCTGTCAGCGCGCTTGTGCTTGGATATGTTCCTTCATTTATTTTGAATAGTCAGAGAGCAAACAGATATGCATGTGGGTTTTCAGAGGGTGTGGGATAAGAGAGAATCAGCGAATAAGTGTGGCAAACATGAAGAACAAACTCCCTCAGTATGTGGATATGCACAGACAGGAACTCTCACTACGAGACAGCCGCTGTGAAAAGCACCTTACAGTTGTAACTGGTTGTGATGCAATGACAACAAGAGTTTCTTTTCAGATTTTTGTCATCGATTTCTATGTTGTCATGTTTTGAGGGTAGCCTTGCCTATAATGGCCCAAAATCTTGCTCCACACAGCTGTCTATAGACCTTAATCAGGTATTTTGAATTTAACACAGATGAAAATGAGGCTGTGAGGGACAGATTTTTGTTTTATGGAGTTTTTGTCTACTGAAAGTTTATTTCAAAAAGACGTTTAATAAGCTGAACAATATGTATCTTGTTAAACAACAGTACATTCCATTGAATTTACTGTACTTCGAACCCTTTACATTTTCATTCCTGTCAAAAATTAAATATGGCACAACCCTGAATAAGGTTTATTAAAGAACAAATTCTGATTGGCTGTGATATTACTGTATGTGATATCACTGTCAGCGAGTGTAGAAAAATGGCATGATGCAGAAACTTGTACATGCCACTGTGCAGACACTGAATAAATCTAACGTAAGAAACTAAACAGCGGTGATAAACTGCCCTGCCATGTGCTGAAGGTCTAAACTGTGTGGGCATCTGTGTGGGTAGGAAGCTATGGGTACTATGTAAATGTGAGAACACACTCACCCAAAGTTTTCCTTCCCAAATAAGGCACTGTGAGAGATTCTCTCAAAGACTCAGTGCTGAAACACCATCCAAGCAGTCCCCCATTACGTCTACTAGTAGCCCCTAATGACTCACTGAGGGAGATTCCCTCAGCCGTACAAACCGACAGATACAGACTGTGCACTGACACAGCCAGTGGATAATTCAGTCAAATCAACCTGCACTTTACTGTACGTCTGTTAGTTTAAAAGAGAGGGAATAAAAAAGAAAAACAGAGAAGAAAATGAGAAAAAGACAAACACACACAACTGTGTAAAGTTTGAGACCTGAAGTCTAATCCAGAGGTTTTCAGTGATACACACCCGCAGGGGGCGCCACAAGCCAAAATAAAAACGGTTTAACATGAATGAAAATAAATTAAAAATAAATCAATTTAATTAAATAGCCATGCACTTTCATATTATTGAGACAAAGTGATCTGCACTAACTGTGACATGCGAAATAATCTTATTGACATAAGAGCAAAAACAGATCAAAATTTCAATTATGTGGGCAACAGGAAATATTTAGGGTCTGTTTATAGTATCGTGTAAGTTGCTATGATTAAAAGCATTGCCAAATCAAATGCATGTGTAATTTATATGACACAGTCAGAGCCCAGTGTTTTTTGACATTTACTTGTAATTTATTGTTTAACCCTACACAACGTATCCTGTGGGATACAAACATTTGAGAGGCTGTGGGGAGAGGCAGGGAAAGTGTAGGTCTCATTTCTTGGTTTCATGTTGTAAAGGTGTTTGTTGTGAATATTTAGATACATTGACTTTGCTCATACATTCTTTGTTTAGCTCACGGGCAGCATTTAAAACTTCATGGCCACCTGTAGTGGGAAATCTACTCACCCCCCCTATAAAAGTTGATCTAGTTCACATATTTACACATGTTGGAGGGGACTAACCTGTTTAAAAAGCTGTTGTTCAGCATTATCTTATTAGGTTTACATTGAAATTTTATGTTTACATTTTTTGTAATCTGTCTCTAAATGTTTGTATCTCAGGGGACACGTCACCCTTTTAGGGGTATAAATCAAGATATAAAAACACAATCTTGACAAAACACATATCGTTGGAAAGGTCTGACAGTCAAGGTTCCATAATTGGTCATTGTTTTGTAATAGAAGTGATATTGTGACAGAAAATTATTGATTTGTGACAGAAAACTGCATCAAAAGAATTCAATACAGTTTGGGTGTCACCCAGTGGTTATTTTTGGTATAGTGCCCAAACAAAATCTCACAGGAACCACAATTTTGGTGATATCAACTTCAAATTTGGAACATAACTTGGTTAGACATATGGCTTAGATTTGACAGCAATTTGAAGTGCAACATATTTTATAAATTATTTATTTTATATACAATTAAAAAAATAGTACACTGCATTATCTTTACTGCAAACTTAAACTTCTATACATTTTTTATACTTTCTTTTTTTGAAATGCTTTCACTTCAGCAATAATCTGCTATGTGTCTTCTTTAAAAAGAGACCAATTTTTGGTCTGTATTCCAAAGCGTTCAGGAATTACAACCATGTTGTAACAAGCATTGATAAACAAGTGTTCTGTTTTCAGTGAATTTATACCCACAAACTGGCAACATATCCTGTGTGATACAAACATTAAAATCAAAATTAAAAGTTATGTTTTGAAAAAAATTATCAAGTTGTATTATTTGTGTCCCAATAAGATGGAAAACAACAATAAATAAATTTTCTGATGTCTCTTTATGGTCTTGCCATTTTTAGGGTTAATTATTTATTTTACTGATAGTGAAATCCACCCTGCTCTAATCTAATCTGATTTGGTACAGCACACAGTTTCTGATCACACTCATTATGTAATTCCATTACGCCACTCAAGTTGGAGTTTATGAAGCAAATGGCATCAATTGATGTACTGTCAAACGTATTCAGTCATATCACTATAAAAACAGCAGCATGAATTCATGAGTTTGTTTGCTTTCCTGTTTAAATCTTTTAGTCACTCTGTAAACAGCTACGCTTTGTTTTTCTAACTTATTTAGAAAAATATGATTTTATGATCATAATTTTATAATCTCTGACGTAAGAACCTCTGATCAGACTGAGGACTGTTCTTTCACATACCGCTCGAATAGAAACAGATGAGACACACACAAACACAGATGGGAACATATCGACTTTGTTCAGACTGCAAACAGGTGGTCTCGCCATTGTGTCGGTGCTTACATTGTTACTATAGCAGCTGACGCAGATGGACCAGATATTGGTGATAACGTTTGAATAAGCAGATCAGATTTCATCATTTGTAAAATGACAGTGCAAACAGTGTGGCAGGATTTGAAAACTAATTCAGATTTGTGGACAGAGAGAATTAAGCAACAAAGAGAACAATCCTAAAAGAAATAGATTAGGTCTGGACGCATCCATAAGATTTAACTCACCTTATACAAGAAAAAGAATAACTTAAAGACTGTATCTACATGCACTTATTTTGGCCAATGAAATAAAAGAGAGATACATAATCTTTGCTCATAAGCAAAAATAAGGCTTTGTGAGAGAATGTGCGTGTATGTGTTTGCACATATTGCACTTATGTCTTACCATCTGGAGATCATCAATTCGAGTGTTGACTCCAGCTGCCATTTCCTTCCTCTCTTGAGGGGTCTCAGGACAGGGGTACAGAGATGCCCGAAACCTAACATAAAAATATTGGTAAAATATATGAATATGGAATACATTAATTTCAAGAATATGTCAAATATACACTACACTATCAAAATACACTATCAAAGGTTTGGGGTGATTAAGATTTTTTTTTAAAGAAATGAATGCCTTTATTCAGTAAGAATGCATTATATTGATCAAAAGTGACAGACAATTGTTACAAAAGATTTCCATTTCAAATAAATGCTCTTCTTTTGAATCCTGAAAAATGCATCATGGTTTCCACAAAAATATGCACAACTATTTCAAACATTGATAATAATAATAAATGTTTACATTTTGTCTTTTTAAAAATATATTTAAAAATATTTTAAATTGTAATAATTTTTCACAAGATTACGGTCCTGTATTTTAAATAAATAAATGCAGCCTTGGTGAGCATAAGAATCTTCTTTCAAAAACAATAATTTTTTTTTCCAACCCAAAGTCTACAAAATCAGAAAATGTAATGTTTTCAAAATCTCAAACCATTTTCTTTTGTTTTGGTCACTCTGTATTGAGACTGGGCAGTGATGCTCTCGTACCCTTCACAAATCTTCTTGACTCTGTTTTTCAGCTGGTCTCCCTGGAAGAAAATGATGAACACAGACTTGTGCACATGGTCTCCCTGGAAAAAGGAGAAGAAAAAAAAACATAAGAGGAAGCTCCTATTAAATATACAGTTAATAATCCAAATTATATCTTGAAAAGTTATATTAAAATTATTTATTTTTCACAGGGGAAACTGACTGTGGCAGGGTCCTCAAGTGGGTCCTCGATGTCTGCCTGTCGCAGGAAGACATTTCCACGACAAACTCTCCACAGCATCCTCTCGAAGGTGGGAATCCTTTCTCTGCCAATCACCCCTGCAACAAACCTGCAACCAGCATCAAAGGTGAGTGAATTATGTCAGTAATCTGCACATCTATTACTCTACCATCTGGCCACTGTGTCATGTTTCGGCCCCCATCTAATAACTGATCTGCATCTTATATAGCAAAAATTATATTATATTAAGATATGTCCTCATTCCTCTTTACTTTCATCTCTTAACTCCTCTGATGGTGCTTTCCTTTCATCCAATGCTCTAAATGGAAAAAGTGTGTTTCATGTCAAGTATTAAAGGCACACCAGGATTACTGATCACAGATCAATAACAAACCCACTGGCATTAGCAGCAGTTACATAAGAATGTGTGTTAAATCCATATTTATTACTTCAATTTTACTTGCATAAACCTATTTAAAAGCTACCTCTCCCTCTGTACTGTGATTTTTACAACTCAATCCAGAACAACATGACCATATTACTACCAACGAAACTGCATTGATGCATTTACTACCCACATATACCCTTACATTTAGAGCCATTTAAAAGACCTGTTATGCATTCTTCTAGAGCTGTGGCAAAGAAGAAGAAAAAGGCAGGCGGATCAGAAACAGAGATCAGGAAGTGTGCAATCCCCATTAACATCTCAGTTTCATCCAAGCATATGCGCACATACAGAGAAATTGAATTTCTTGTGTTCAAGCAGGCCTGCTTCAGTGATAGTGACCGTCAAGAGATGCAGTTTGTGAGGTAAGATGATACACTGAAAGCATTTCAAAAGAATGAGTTCAGGCTGCACTGTAATTTCCACATATGAAGCATCCATGTTTTAGCAGTCCATAACATAGCTTAGTAAGACAGAGATCAAACCCACTGACATACTCACCCAAGCCTAAGAGGAGCGGCACGTCCAACCTCATTTGGATCCAGTAGAGTTGACGACTCTTCCAAAAGTGCAGGGTCTTCCATCTAACAAAAAGGAAAAGAGAACAATAATTTAATTTATTTATCTCTTCCTGTAAAAATAATCTGATTTTGAATCAAAGTTCATTGTAGTGTTGATAATATTGTTTCAGGAAATTGATTTCTAACAAATCAAGGGCCCTTTACATACAACCGGGCAAAGGTAAATTAAGGTATCAAGCTGTTGTAGTTAACTTAATATTGATAGATGTTGTAATAGTTCAAAGCTCTACATGTTAAGGTACAGTACTTCTTTCATGTTACATAAATAAGACAAATGTATGTTTAACGTAAGTTTTCAATGAAATTACTGTTTAAAAATTGATTTATTTAGAGGATTTATTAGAGTAAATCTTGATATTTAATAATACTCAATCAGCTGACAACTTTTACCCAAAGCAAATTACAATACATGTTATTACAGGGAAAACCATGGTGATGTGCCTAACTCAAGGGCACTGGGATTGGTCCTTGAATATTTTGAAACAGCTGTATTTTTTTTAACCACTGAGCCACACCACCCTCACACCACCCACCACCAGCTTGTAAGAGAGCCCAAGTTAGTGGAAGTGTAAAGTGAATGATTGCATGACAGCTAACAACTTAACTGCTTGCTCTCAAATTATCTTTTATAACTTGAAAAAGAAATATATCACAATAAAATGTTAAAGATCAGTGTCCAGGAAGCACAGAAATGTATGGTCAAAGAACTCCAACAGGCTGAAAGACAGAAAAGAAACACCCTGGTAGTAGACAATTATCACGGGCACAAAAGACTGAGCATTTTTTTAAAGGTTCAAGAAACGTGTGAATAGGGAGTCGAACACCTTGCAGAACTGGTCTTGGGAAGGGCAGTGTGACTTCATCACCAGCGGCTGAAATTCCTGAAAACCAGGAGTTCAGAGAATGGCCTTTCAATCTGTTAGACATGCATCTGTCTTTGTCAGCTTGAACATTATCACAGACATGGGGAAAAACATGGTTCCTCTGTTTGTGTTAGAGTGTTTGTTGATTTGACTACTGAATGGTGTTAATTATTTTGATCTGATGGTTTGTATTCCAATACAACCACTGTATGACATTTGTGAGTAAAGGCCATTTTACACGGTAAAGGGGAACAGTGAGTTCCCAGTTCAGGCTAAATGGAAGAAAAGTGGAACATGGCAACACGAAAAACAACACAGAAAGTGGCACCGCAGTAAAGTTAAGCCCAACAATACAGTTTCTGCTAGCTTTCTTAAATGTCACATGCCATTGACCAATCCAAGGTGATGTTACTCACAACCAATGAAATAGTATTTAGCTTTTACTTGGTCAAAGAACAACGTTGAGGAGAGGTTTATTGCAGTATTTTATGGCTTCATTAGCCATTACTTACATAAACAATATAACAGTAATCACCCCGTTCAAATGCAGCATATTTTTCCTCAAGCTGAAGCAGCAGCAGATATTGTTGTGGTTGCACATGCACATTTCACACCGCCTCTCAAGAGTGTGTGAAATGGAAGAAGACAACTAAGACTGCAAGACTGCAAGCAAAGCAAGCCGCCTATCATGTACCGTGTAAAATGCCTCAGGAAATACCACAGGAAACTCTAAAGGATTAAGGTTTCGTAAGAGATGAGGTATTACAGACCTCATCAAAGAACTGCTGTGTTCGTCTGAGGATGTGCTTAAGCTCAGTCAGCTCCAGGAAGTTCTTCTTCAGGGCTTCCTGGTTGGTGTTGATCTCCTTCAGCTCATTCTCCAGCTTTTCAAAGGTGGCCTACAAAAAGTGAAAGAAGGACACAACTGATTAAATGCATTCAAAACTTGATTTTATTCTTTTTTTCTGTGATGCAAAGCTGAATTTTCAGAAGTCATTACTCCAGTCTTCAGTGTCACATGATCATTCAGATATCATTCTAATATGCTGATTTGCTGCTTAAGAAACATTTTCTGTTATTATCAATGCTGTGGTTAATATTTTTCGTTCAGGATGCTTTGATGAATAGAAAGTTTGAAAGAACATTAATTACATATAATTCAATACGTTTAAACCTAATGAACTACTCTAATCAAAATTTGAGTATTGAATGACATAAGAATATTTTACATTTACATTTAATCATTTAGCAGACGCTTTTATCCAAAGCAACAAAAGACTTACAAATTTGTAATCAGCAAATTCTCTCCTCATGCACCATCTCTGAGTTTTAGCACTGTGCTTATCACAATGTTTTATGGGTTGCCTTCTCAGTAAAGGATAAAATGCTGCCTTAGAATTTAGGAATAAACTTTTCATTATACTTTGATACAGTGCCTCTGTAGGCAGCTCATAATGTTTCTAAACTAAGCGATTTTAATTATGGGTTCTTTTTATTTCTAATTCTCATTTTCAGCCTTATTTTGAGTTGTCCATGAAGTTTTTATACCTCCAAATCAATCATGTCTCGTGGAAAAGGGACCTCTGGGTTCTCCCCTGTGTCTACAACAGGTATGTTAGCCTTTTTGATTTCCTTCTCAACAAATCCTTGAAAAGAAAAGAAAAAATGACCAGGCAGAGAAAACAGAAAAGGAGAGAAACCACATGTTCTTGAACATCTTTCCACTGAATTTAACCAGAGCTCATGATGCTGTGTCAGCAATGATTTTCAGCTCACTACATCAGCAATGCTAACTCAATAACTCACTTAGTTTGCGGTCCATCTCCTCACACCGACGGACTTCATTCACAAACTTCCTCTGGAAAACGTTCACATCGGGGTTCAACTGCAATTCAATGAAAGCGAAAAGGTCACGGACCTATTAATATACAATTACCATTCTCTCAAAGACAAGGAAGCCACATTCACACCCAGGGGCGTAAGGAGAAACTGCGAAGTAGTCATTCACAACGGATCAATGAATCCACATGAAATAAAACAACACTGTTGGCTGTGAATAACTAGATGAGGGTTCAAGAATGAGTGAGTGCTCTTAGGCCACACTGAGCAATGTTTCACAATCACTTCCTGTATGAGGTCATAATGTTTGTGTATCTGATAGCCATTTAAATCTTCCCCAATTCAATTTCATCTGGTCTTAGTCTCACACTCTACTGAATATTATTTGCTCTCTATCTGTTACCCTTTTCAGTAGCAGTGAAATCAAGTTTGCATGGTAAAGCAATGCTCAAAATCTTGTATGCAACACATCTGAAATATCGCATAATCATCAATGCTGCAGGGACATTAAAAGTAAGGAAGGAATTACAACACCACTGTACATGTCTGGCCCTGAAGCATTTCTGGTAGTGGCATTTTTATAACCAAAAACTGTCAAAACAAACTGAGTAGTGCAAACTCTTAGAGCGTTGCTAAAACAGAGGAAATATGATATGAAAATAAACATAAATGTAGCGCAAATACTGGATCTTTAAATAAGGAGGCAACTTTTCTCAAAGGGCATCAAATGTTTACCTGAAGTTTCCTTGCATCATATTATTGTAGACTACACATGAAAGTCTATGAATGTGTATAAGTTTTGATGCTTATTTCTTCAGTTATGCTGACATTTGTTGACAATGACGTCAATGTTACTGCCATGAGTCACTATGAATGAAGCACCACCCTCTGTTGTTTTGAATGGGTTTGACAATGAACAGTGAATGTTCCAGGAATTAATAACCAGTGAATTATGATGTGGTCTATACTTACATCTCTGAACTGCACCATGCCGATCTCCCCCAGCTCACTGACACAGCAGTAGGCGGACTCAGACTGGAGAAAGAGCTGGGCCAGAGTCATCTCCTCACTGCGAAACAGCTCCCCCATAATGCACTGTTCTCTACCCAATGCACTAAGGGGAGAATGTCTGAGGGAAGAGGAAGAAAACACAAATGCTAATAATATAAATACAAAAGGTTTCACATAAAACAGAGTAATATTTCTGTTTGACACCAAGCACAGTGGTTAAGCCACACTGATTGTGCGAATATAGAGTTTACTTTAACCAAAAGGAAGGAAGGCAGCCCTTAAAACAGCACGTCAGCATTTTTAACCTTAACAATTCTGATCTGTTTACTGATTCTGTGCAAATTCTGTTATGCTCACAGTCCAGCAAGATGATGATGCCACAGATAAATGCTCTGTGACCATGAACTGAGCTTCATTGGACACGGCTGATAGTTTACAAGTCATGAGAATCATATGAATGTTCTGTTTTCAAGGTCTTAACATATAATGGTTATCTGACAGTATTGTACAAGAAGCTTGCTTTTAGATAACAGATCAGCAGCTATGAAAAACCAACTGCAAACTAGGGCTGCTCAATTATATTTTGTTTTATACAATGTTATATATTTTAAATGATATAACTTTAAAAAAACATAACTTTTAATGTAATAATTATATATAGAGACAGATAGATCTAATTAGTCTAAAATAAGACCAACCAATTTATTTAATACACAAGTTTCACAATTTGAGTTGAATTACTGAAATAAATGAACTTTTCCACGACATTCTAATTTATTGAGATGCACCTGTATGTTGTAATGCACTTGCACCACCTACTAAACATTGAGGGTAGACCCAAATCACACTGCTGTAAAGGAAAGGAAATACACAAAAAAATGGAATGTGGCACAATAATAATAATTATATCCCTATTATCTTGTTTTCTTAATCGTTGAAAGCTAAAATCATAATTGCAAATAAATTCTGATTAATCGGCCAGTCCTACTTCTACTCAAGGCTAAGCTTATGCCTCATTTCATAACACCAAGAGCATTATGCATAGAGGACATGCAAAGGATGTTACGCTTCTTTGCCATTTCACCATTATCATGGCATGTGATGCTCCAAACAGCTGAGAGAATAAGCACATGCTATTTCAGAAGAATGAGGAAAACACACAGGAGCATTCAGCGATTACACAGAACAACCCAATGAACTTTACTTTCCCTGGACCTACCGCTACAACTGCATGGAATGTGCTCTCCTAGAGCAAATCCTGATCTTCTCAGTGAAATGCATGTGGTCCAATCAAAGGAGTGAATTGTAAATTGTAGTCCATTCTTCAAAGCAGTCCTTCACTGAAAGAAGTTCACTATTCATGAAGAATGATTGAACGATGGACTCCACTCACAGCGAGCAGATTATGGATTAAGCTGTGCCATCATGTGACTCTCCATACTAAACATTACCAACACAGAGGCATTTTGTGGCACATTAAGACACAAAGAAAATCGTCAGAGCAAAAAAAGCCATTTAATATTTTTGCTAGGTCCATTTTACAACTTTTAAGTGATCGAAATGGGACGCAAGTAGTCTTTGTTTCATAGGTAATTCCACACGTGCTGAATAATGCAGCTAGAATAATGGTCCGTTGTTAACAAGTAACTATGCAGGAAGTAATAGGTAGTACTACATTAACACTAAACTTAATACTATTAACTAATAGAGAAGCAAGATCAACTAAGCAGTAAGTAGTAGCAAAAAGGTAGACGGTAAGTAAAGACAAAGGTAATTCCTTATTAGATATTTGATCATTATTAAATAAAAATATCCTCATTGAGAACTACTTAAATTTAGAGTCACAAGGTTGACGGGACTATTCCAAAGTGCTGCGAGCAAACAAATCACAAATCAGAGAGCTCGGATCATTTAACCCAATAAATGGCCTGCGACAAATACGGCCTATGGAGGCTAATTAATTAAGGACGGTTATCGATATTAAACAAGGTTATCTCAGGTAATGTCAATAGGAAAAAGTGGCCCAATTTACCCGAATTCACCCTAAGTGAATAACAATTATATTAAATGACAGAAAAGAAGCCTTGTTTTTCCTGACCATATCATTAAAGGAGTAATTCCAGCCCTCATTTCTACTTAGAAAAGAGCAATAAGTATATTCTTCAAAATGGGGTTTTTTTCCATAAAGTGTAAGTGCACATATATATGGTTACAGTTGATTTCATAGTAATCATATCCTCCTCCACATGTAACTTGAGGCCTCAGTTTGTTATTGCAGGCAGGCTATATGAATAGTGACATCTGTTGGTTGCAAAAATTACTCTGTCTCAGATCAAAAAAAAAAAAAGAATAGCATTCACCTATAAGAAAGACTGATTAATGGTTTCCATTAAGAGCATTGAGGGCTTATATGGAAGAGCTATATGGAAATTGCTGTTCTATGAAGCAAGTGTCAGTAGATATCCAGCATGTGTGGGTATTATTAGGTCATGCATTGGTGTGTATGAACATGACAGTGTGTTTATGGCATATTATAGTCTTATTATGTAGGCTAACATGTATTTCACTTATCCACAATCCCAACAAAGTATATGGGGCATTTGATACACTTAGGTATACACTTAGATCCATTAGGTAACATCAACAGGCAGCAACCTATTTATGTTCGAGTGCGCATGTCCATGTGCCCAACAGGTGACGCACTCCCTCTAGAGGCCACTGATGGCATAAGCAGCACACCCTCAAACCACTAGGGGGCACTACAGAACTACACATTAGCACAGGTCAAAAAACTACGTTAACCGATCTGAGGACGGTTGTGAAAATGAAAAGACGTAGATGTTTTGAATACTGTTTGGTTGTCATGAATAATAGGACTATTAATATTTTTATAAAAAAGCTGCTTTTACTAACAGCACTTAAAAGGAGGACACTTGAGTTCTGGTTCGATGTTATGAAATATCTCATTGGCCTAGAACGAGATACAAATTTAACTGTGATGCCTGAACCAAAGTATTTTATTCTTAGATAGAGCCAGGAATATTAAACTCATCAGATATTTCCCATGATACCAGGGTATTAATGTGAAATTCCAAAGTCGATTAAAAAAGACGTATATGAAGTGCAAAGAAAATGCCTTGGCCTACACCAGTGAAATGAACCGTGCAAAAAGGTTTCCTGTCTGTGAGTTTTTTCACAAGTTATATTTTATTTAACTGACACAGATTATTTTGTCTTTGAATTATTGTGAGATTTAATTTCCTTAACTGCCAGAAGCTCTACTCTCTTGCCAACTTTTTAGCCTGTTTTATGTTTTCTTATAAATGTATTATGATTATGAAGGGTTTTATTGCTTTTTCACAGTTATGCATTTCTTTTCATGAACAAAATGCGAGCATGCCATTGACTTATCTTATAAATAAACAATAATATAAACACAAAAAAGGCTGTAGAAGGTTAAAACAGCTCAAGAGACCTCTGAGGAACTTATGTGAGCGACTGCTATGGTGTTTATTTGTACAGTATGAAGGCCCCAGGAAGCATAATAACACGGAAGTAGACCCAACAAGGGTTGAAAAATACCTTTCTATTATTTTTCAGGGCTAAATGCAAATTTTTTTAGTTGCACGGCATGCAAGAGAGGAGGTGTCAATGTGCTGTCCCACAGGAGACTACATTGACATCTTATTGCAGTAGCCTCTGGTTTCATGACATTACCTCAGGCTCTTTTATCTAATTTGAGGGTTCCCATGTGACAGAAGCATGAGATACAGCCGGTTTGTTGCTGTAAAGCTGCCTATCAGTCTCCCAGAATCTTAGTATCTGTCTTGTATATTCTTAGTAGGGGGGGGGGGGGGGGAAATTCCAAATTTGAGATTTGGAATTTATAATTCCAAATCTCAAAATTTGGAATTATAAAAAGTCAGAGTTGCAAGAGTTCACAGCTCACATTTCTTACTTTTTTTCTCTGAATTTTTGAGTTTACATCTTGCAATTCTTGTCCCGCCATAAAATTAAAAATGTTATTTTTATATATGTAAATGTTATATTTATTTTTTTAAATGTAATTGTGACTTTATCTCACAATTCTGTCTTTTTTGTATAATTGGTGGCTAATTTGTTCAATGATTTGTAATATGAATTTGTACAATCACATTTTTTCTATGCTTTCATACAATATGCATATACCCCATCAACTCAATCTCAGGGTCAAAGAAAATGAAGAAAATCACAATGAAGGCTTGTCCCTAATCCTTCCCCTAAACATAACAGTTACTGAGGTGTGAGCAGATCGTATGAAAACATATGAATTCATATGAATTATCACCAAAATGTACGGTTATGTTTAGGGGTAGACCATCATGCTTACTTTTTTCTAAAAGTCGTATGTTCAGACGTTCAGATTATTGAAAAAGGGGAGGCAGAGGAAAGTAACCTTTTACATTTTTGCTGTTTAAGGAATTGTTTTGTGTTACATATTCATTTTACAGTTTTACTGATAAGCCTAGGTTGTTTAATGACAGGTTCCACTAACAAACATTCTACTACATTCATTACATTCAGTACATTACATTCATCAACTGAATCATGTTGTTCTTCTACATCTTTATGACTGACAGGCCAAGAGAGAGAGTGCATTAGAAACTGTGCTTCCTTCTCACATTCCTTGCTCGAAGGCTTAGAATTCCATTGATCTGTTTTTCAAACTTCGTGGTGATTTAGTGCCCACTTGAGACGAGTTTAGTCTGAGCGCTGTATCCTCCTTCACCTAGGTCGCTCATATTTCAACACAACCACCACTAGAATATGTCCTAATTTAATGTAAAGGATTGATCAACTGAAGAAGACGAGATAAAACTGTTATTTATGGACACACACATCTTAAGCACACACACATTCACAGGAATTTTCTGGTGATTGTCATGTGTTTTCTGTGGGCTGGAACTCAGACGATCACCCTTCTGATAAAGCAGTATTGGATCCTACAGGCTCACTTTCTAGAGCTATAAATAAATAAACTCCATTAATGTGAAATTCTCCAGCAGATGGGTGGCACGAGAACACGAGAGAAGGTTTGTTTTTCCTCATTCACGTGTCTAGCTGTGACCTGTTTAGTCT